CTTGCTTAGGCCTGTTCCTCGTTAATTTCACTTCTAAATAGGAAAGAGGAGAGAAGAACCCCCCAAGAAAGTATGTTTCAGCCAGAATTTTACAAACATGTCAGAGTTCCATGTTCAAGATGAAATAAAAAGAGAAGCCAAGAATGTGGCTATATATAAGGGAATGTGGTAATATATAAGGTCTAGTAGATTCCACCTGTTTTGTTGGCAGTGGACTACTCCCTTCTAATAAAACCTGATGACTTAAAATAAAGTTGCTAAATTTGAATTAGAAATGGGGAACCCGTAAGCCTACTCACCCAACCTCCCCCTTGCCCCTCTCACTTCTTTTCATGCCCCCTCCCACCATTACAGAACTGTTGCATTTTTTCAGGACACAGTTTAAAGTCAGATTCGTCCAACTCCACATTTTAAAGATAGAGCCACCGAGGCCCAAAAAGATGTGACTTGCTTGAGATTACCCAAAGGATTAGTAACAACACCAGAGCTGAAACAGGCATCTTGACCCCCCAGCCTAAGGCTGTGTCTCCAATAGCAGACTGTTTCTAGAGGTGTTGAGAATGTATTGGGACTTGAATAATAAGTAGGATTTGTGCATTCTAGGTAATATACAAGCATACCATGAATGTTCAGTACAGCCATCCACATTGAATAAGGAAAAAAGAGAAAACCAACTCTTGGTGAGCACTTCAGGGTTAATCATATTATACTAATTTTACAGAGGAATTTGTAGCAATTAAGTGACTAGTCCAAGATTATTCAGCAGAGAAGCTAAGCCAGAATTCAAAGCCTTTTTTTTTCTGGCTTATTCAAATATATCATAAACTGGAAATTGCAAATTGATGGCCTTGTAGACAAATCTGTCCCACAGACATGTATTTGGTTTGCACCAAGTATAGCTATATGATCTTGGTCAAGTTACTTGCCCTGTGTCTCAGTTTCCTCATCTGTAAAATGGATTATTGTGAGGATTAGTTAATATTTCTAAATCTTCTAGGCCACTTTTGGTTTCTAGCACTGTAAGCGTATTTTTTTTTGAATTTTTGAATTTTTGAACTATATGTCAACATTCAAAATGAGACATTTTACATACAAATCCAAATTTCTGACTCCTCTTTTAAAAAGTAGAATATAATGGTGTAATATTTTGCAAATATCAAGCTGACTCATTTTAATTTTCTTCTTTAAATCATGTTTCATTATAGACCCTTGACTGTAGTGTTGCTCTGAAACTTCCCTAATCAGGAGAGAATAGAATAGGATCCATGGAGAGAAAAAGAACTGCTACATTTCCTTAATTCCATTTAACCTATGAAATTTAGTAAATGGAAAGTGTGTCATAGATCCTCCCATACTCCAGAGGAGATGCTCCTTCCATCTAGTACAGCTCAGCCATGAAGCTGTGACATAGGGAATTTTTTTTTAAATGGCTGATTCTTAATTAAAGGGTAGAGGGAAGAAGAAGGAAGAGAGAGACAAGAGAGGCAGCGATTTTGAGATACGTGCCCCTGTCTTCCCACTCCAGCTTTTCAAAATAGAAAGCATTCTTGCTTTGCTTCTGTTTGGAACTCCAAGTAGAGCTGACTTGTGAACTATGCCCACACCAACAAGCAAACAGCCACATATGAATAAAAGTAATGGCTCAGTGTATTTGGGAAGAGAGAGAAGGCTTGCATTTAATTCCTCAGAGTGTCTTTTAGCACCTTCAGAGTGGTGAACCCAAGTTTTACGGGTCTTGAAGCTTATGTGGTGGGGCGAGGGAGGAGGTTTTCAAAGAAACAAAACACAAAATTCCATATACAAAATTAGATGGAAGGTCTTGGAAGGAGCTCTGCAAGTGAGTAGCCCTTGGTTTCTATGTGACATGGAATGTATCCAGAAGTTCCCAAATAGGTAGAGGGTAGGTAGCCAAGAGAACTGGCTGGCAGGGACAGGGGGAAATAGCTTTGTAGATCTCACTGGGCAGGGAACAAAGAGTGGTAACAGCCAACCTCAAGAAGAGCTGTGGTTGGCCTCCAGGCTCTTAACAAGCTTAGAGAGTCCAGGCTACAAGATACGTCACTTGCTGACCAACAGGGTGCAGAGCTTCCAGAGAGGTAAGATAATAGTATAAGGAGACCAAATGGATTCAAGGTCACAGGCTTCCTCAACACCATAATGCCTTATACACATTCACACCATCTTAGGGACACATGCAAAGGTAGAGAGCAACTATATGAAAGACTTGGCATTTTTCCCCCAAAGAGATTATTACCTAAAGGAATTCTATCCATTAGATTCAAATATGTTTTAAACAAAATTGGACATTTAGATATATTAATGAATTCAGAGAATGTTAAGAAGTGAAAAAGGATACTGGGATGAAAAGTGGCTACTTTAGATACGGTAGCCAGAAAATATTTTTCTGAGGAGGTGACATCTGAGCTGAGACTTAAATAATGAGCAAGAGCCAACTGTGTGCAAATGTCTGGGCAGAGCATTCTAGGCAGAGGATTCCAGGTAGAAAGATCAGCAAGCGTAAAGCCCCTCAGCAGGAACAAACTTGAAGTGTTAAAGAACACCAAGATACCAGGGCTGGCTGAGTGGCTCAGTTGGTTAAGAGCTC